TAGATTTATGAATTCTCCTACTAAAACTGCAAGCAAAAGTTTTGCAATTTAACTATTTTACTTTATACCTGTACCCTCTAAATGGAGTTTTCATGGCTTCTGTTGTTTACTCCAAATATACTGACTGATACTGACTGACTGACTGAAATCGATATCTTCGGGGTCAAAAGTGTTAATGCTTATGACCGTTAAATTCTCGACGACTGGTCGGCTCAAAATCATTCAAGAACGCAAAAACTTCTTTTAAAAACTGGAAGAGACATTTCTTTTGCTTAAAAAACTTTAAAAACAGTGAATTTGATACCAAAGAATAAAAGAAAAGATATTTTAGGCGAGCATTCTCTAAGCTGTCTCAACTCAGAATGACATTTACAACCAGTAGAAAAATGGGCACTATTTAATTAATCATTATGGCCGGTGGGATTTTCGCAGGCAACTGGAAAGAAGTAAATCCAAACACCGACACCCTAAAGTAGCTGAAATATCTTGCGATTATCTTTCATAACTATCATTATTGCAATAAAGTCTTAGAAGCCCTTTTTAATAGAAAACGCATGTCAGAGTTTCGGTTAGAATTTCACGTGCGCTGATACCATGAGACTTCATTTTAGCATTGTATTCAGTTGTCTGTCTCATTACGTGGAACACTTACCCTTTGCAGATCAAACTGTTTCAACTGTTCTCTGAACTCCGCATCAATACCTTGCAGGGACGTTTCGCATTTCCTTTGTAGGCGTCCATACAGAACGTCGAAGAACGTCCTGGCTAGACGACTGCATAACAGCTCTAGACGAGACATTTGTTGCCGAAACTCTAAAGTGCAGCAAAGTTGAGGAAAGTCATTTCCATTTTAAAATTTAATCTCACCTTTGTGACTGAAGCATGAGTCTCCGATGGGAACTCGTTCAATTGATTTATCGATCTGGTGCTGGCGTACAGAGCCCTGAGCAGTCACCTCCAGTCTTGCGCCGTCGGTCGATGATTGGCCTACATGCCTTATAACTGTCGCTTGTTCTGTTGCTGCTACTACCGCTGACGATGGACTCCTGTACGAGTCTAGAAGCTCAGGACAATAAACGAAGTGTTCCGGTGCTCGACTCTTCTTCACATCGACTGCATATGCCCAACAGCAAGGTGCACGTGAATTGGTTTACGATGATAATAGACTTGCGCGGAATCTACCACACTCTCTCTCTCTCTCTCTTCCTCACCCATTTGAGCCCTGTGTCAGGACAAAGTCAAGAAGACCGCAGACATAATCAG